TCCATGTTCTGACAGTCTTTAGGTCACATATGCATTATCAAAGGCTGATCTAGAAGTAGATTTAGGCACCTTCTCCTGAATGAGCGTTGCTGGACTTGGCCAGAGAGGTTGAGAACAGGAGAGCCCTTCCTTTGGATCCTCAATAGAATACTTCTTGGGAGAGGCTCTGCTGAGAGAAAAATGGGTAGCTGGGAAAGATCACTTCTGTGGCCTTGATACCATGCATCTGAACTGAAAGTAATATCTTGAAGTTTATCAGTAAGGGACACAATTGCAGGTACAATCATAGGGGTTATTAGTAGGAAGAGACTATCAAGAAGCTATAGAGCTGAAAGATAGGGTTTGTGCTCCCAAGGTGCCAGAGAGCAATGAATCCAGTGAAAAAAATTTATGGAATAACTATCTCCAGAATAGGTCCATCTCTGGGTTTACCTCTAACATCGTTGTAGAGTATTCCACTCCATCCTCAACCCATATGCTGTTTCCCTTATTGGCTTTGGCCCTTGTATTATTTTCTGAGGGCTGCTGTAATAAATTACCACAAACTGCATGGCTTAAAACAACCGAAATGTATTCTCTCACAGTTCTGGAGGCTAGAATTCTGAAATCAAGGTGTTGGCAAGTTGTTTCCTTCTGGAGACTCTGAGGGAGAATCTGTTCCATATCTCTCTCCTAGCTTCTCGTGGTTGCTGGCAATCCTTGGCATTCCTTGGCTTGTAGAAGCATCACTCCAGTCTCTGCCTTTGTCTTCACATAATGTTCTCCCTGTGTATCTGTGTCTAAATTTCCCTCTGTTTATATGACACCAGTCAGATTGGATTTAGGGCCCATCCTAATCCAGTATGACTTCATCTTACCTTGATTATGTATGTAAAGATGCTGTTTCTATATAAGGTCATATTCATAAGTACAGGGGGGTTAACCAAAACCAAACCAAACCCACTGCCGTTGAGTCGATTCCGACTCATCGTGACCCTATAGGACAGAGTAGAACTGTTCCACAGGGTTTCCAAGGAGCGGCCGTTGGATTTGGACTGCTCACCTTGTGGTTAGCAGCTGCAGCTCGCCCAGAGCTCTTAACCATTGCACCACCAGGGCTCCACGGGGGGATTAGGACTCTACATATCTACCTAGGGGATATAGTTCAATCCATGATAGCACTTCTGTCTACTTACAGGTGTTTTAAGGATTTCCAACTGCAGCGGGCCAACAAGATGGAGCTGCGAAAGCAGCAAGAGGATGTGAGTGTGGTCCGTCGCACTGAGTTCTACTTTGCTCAGGCACGGTGGCGTCTGACAGAGGAAGATGGACAGCTGGGAATTGCTGAACTGGAGCTGCAGCGGTTCCTTTACAGCAAGGTATCCAGCATATACAGTGACACAAAAGTGGCTGTATTGAGAGGCATTGGCCTATTTCAGGAGTCTAACTCACAAAAAGGGATAAACATAAAGGAGTTAATTATTACATGATTATTAATGATGGTCATGATTGGAAACATAAGCAGAATTCCCTTACTTAGTCACATCGTTTATAATATTAAGTAATGATACAGAAATAGATGAGTTTGATTAAATGCTTCCTTCATTGAGTAAGGAGATTATTGCTAGAACTGTGGCCCAGAGGAAGTAATCTTCCAAGTCCAGCTTCTCTGTAGCTGAGCTTGAGTGTTATTGTGTGCCATCAAGTTGATTCCAACTCATAGTGACCTTATAGGACAGAGGAGAACTGCCCCATAGGGTTTCCTAGGCTGTAATCTTTATAGGAGCAGGTCGCCAGGTCTTTTCTTCCACGGCATGGCTGGTGGGTATGAACCACCAACGTTTTGGTTAGCAGCCAAGCATTTAACCATTGTGCCAGCAGGGCTCCTTATAGAGCTTAAATAGAACCATTCTAATACTGGTATTCAGTTTTCCTGCAATTACCTGTTGGCATGGGGGATGGAGGACATTATTCATTACTCTCCACTTCAAGGGAAATAAGGAAACGAGCATTTTTGAATGTCACCCTGACTGGGAAGTACTACTGGCATTTAATGCCCTGGTCACTAATGCCCCATGAGAAACACTGGATTAGAGGATGCGTTGCTTGTATGAGATTGAAAGAGATATCAAAGGTTGGGATTAGGTACATGGAGAATCTGAAAGCAAACAGTATATGCAGTAACTCTTTAGCAAGCTCCTGAGAAAGGCTTATTTATTATAGTGGAGGGGGAAAATCTGTCTTTATAGGTGAATAAGTCTGATGACACAGCAGAACATCTTCTGGAGCTGGGCTGGTTTACTATGAACAACCTCCTTCCCAATGCTGTCTATAAGGCAAGTCTTATTTCCCCATTCTTAGCCTATTCACATGCTTCCTAGTGTAGGGCATTTATAACATCCTGTTCACTCTGTATCCTACAGGTAGTACTGCGGCCCCAGAGCCCCTGCCAGTCTGGGCGACAGCTAGCCCTCCGCCTCTTCAGCAAAGTCCGGCCCCCTGTTGGGGGTATCTCTGTCAAGGAGCACTTTGAGGTTAGTAACCAGTCCTTGAGGGACCCAGGAGAAAAAGGCAGTCAAAAGCTATCTGTATGCATACTGTATGCTGGGGTAGGTAAGCTAAGGGATGGTGTCTGAGCTTAATTACTTCTTTGACTTCTTTCCCTTTTAGGTAAATGTGGTGCCTCTCACCATCCAGCTGACACACCAGTTCTTCCATAGAATGATGGGCTTTTTCTTTCCTGGCCGAAGCATGGAGGATGATGAGGTTGGTGATGAAGAGGATAAGTCCAAACTAGTGACTACTGGTGAGAACCTTTGTGGTGGAGCTCCAGAATAGGGTGGCAGCCCCAGAGATAGCTGCAGCTTCAGAGGGGGTGACAGCTGGCATGCTTGCTTTTTCACAGGAATACCAGTGGTGAAGCCTCGGCAGCTGATTGCAACAGATGATGCAGTACCTCTAGGCTCTGGGAAGGGCGTGGCACAGGGCTTGAATCGAAGCTCTGGGGTCAGGAGGTCATTTCGGAAAGTACCTGAGGTACCACACATACCCCTGGTGATAAAACAATGGGAGAAACCTGAGGTGCTGTTTGGCCTGGCTGGGGATTTCTTGTTTCCTTTGAGTCTATTTGAGGAGTGAAAGGAGAGGGGGATGTTTGGGATCCTGTTTCTTTTCCTTCTGATGGTCTCAGGGCCTCACACTCCTTTCCTGTCTCTCCTAGCATCCTGTGGATGATATTGACAAGATGAAAGAGCGAGCTGCCATGAACAACTCCTTCATCTACATAAAAATTCCACAGGTTCCACTGTGCGTCAGTTACAAGGTCTGCACCTCTACAGCACTTTCTAGAACAGGGTGGGAAGGGAACCAGATCAGATGATCAGAGATTACAGACATGGAGACAGCTGGGTTTCTGTAAAGCTGGGCTTTGGGTAGTAAATCTGATGTTCCCTCTGCTCCCCTTAGGAGTCAGTACCATTACCGTACTAAGTTAAGGAGAAATCATTATCAGTAGGTTTCTGTTGCAGGAAGGTACAGGACTATCCCCAAGTACTGGCTTGGACTCACTCAAATGGCAGCTGATGGATTTTTCCCCTTTCCCCTCTTCTTCTTGCAGGGTGAGAAGAACAGTGTGGACTGGGGTGACCTTAATCTGGTGCTGCCCTGTCTGGAATACCACAACAACACATGGACGTGGCTAGACTTTGCCATGGCTGTCAAGAGGGACAGCCGCAAAGCCCTGGTTGCCCAGGTATCCCGCCAGAGCTCGTGGCTGTTTGGTTAGCAGGGGCTGGCAAAACAGATCCTCTGCTCAGGAGTCCTTCATTCTAGGATATAATAACAAAAGCCTTGGGAGAGGGGCAGGTGAATGAAGTGAGTGACTTCTATCCCTGCGCTCCCTATGACTTCATTCAGATGATTAGATTGAAAGTTTACTGTTTCGTATGTGTTAACTACTTACTGTTGGTTTTAGGGAACTAAGGGCTGACACAACCTCAGGTTTAGAATGGGTTCTATTTAGACTGTAAGCTTCTTGAAAGCAGTTGAATTGCCCTGTTGTGCCTTGCATGTAAGTCTAATAAATCTTTCTTGACTTGATTAATTTTGATTTGTTCTGCCTGGCCCACTAATATTTACCTTCCCCTTTACTCCTCTCCAAACTGCCAGGTAATCAAAGAGAAGCTAAGGCTGAAGCCTGCAGCGGGATCGGAGGTCCGGGGAAAACTAGAAACTAAATCGGACCTGAACATGCAACAGCAGAAAGAAGAGGAGAAAGCCCGGCTCCTCATCGGTCTAAGTCTGGGTGACAAGAACCTTGGCAAGAAGTCCATCTTTGGCAGGCGCAAGTGACCTGGCAGTCCAGGAGTGGCTGCAGTGCAGGATCTGACTCTGGCTCAGGCCCCAAGGACTTGTGGAGAGGGAGGGGCTTTCCTTCATCCACCATGATTGGTGGGGATCAGGGGCCCACAGGGTACTGTGAAGAGACGCATCGCTCTTTAGTAGCTGGCCTGTTCCTTGCAGGGCATGGTGGACAATAATGCTGAGTTCCACCCCACGCTGATCAGCAGGCCCAGGGCCAGAGAGGCAGCAAGAGAGCAAGACCCAGGGAATGGGCCCAGGGCTAGGATCCTGTTCCCTTGGCGTCAGCTGAATGGGTGGGGGGACAGTCTTAATCAAGCGTGATAAATTTTTATAAATAGATTATATATAAAAATATATATATTTCTAAGTGTAACTGTTCTCTTATGTGCCAGAAAGCTGAGGGGAGGGGACTGATCCCATCCCTCACTCCACTGCCTTGTATGAGAGGTGTTAGTGTGCTGGGGGGAATCACCCCCTCCCCAATCTGTGTGCCAAGCTCACTTGGGAGAATGGCAATGGGAGGCAGGGCCGGCCATGGTCCCCTACTCTTCCCCCTGGGGTATCCCTGGAGAATGGTAACAAAATGATCTAAAGAGAAAAAAAAATATTTTAAATTTGATGCTGGTTTTTTTTCTTCTTCTTTGATTGTGTTGAGCGTATGGGTTCAGACTGTCTTTGCCCTTCCCTTCATATCAACCTGACACATCTGTAGCTACCACTTTAATGAGGGTGGCTTCTTCCCACCTCTGCCCTGAAGCTGTATCACAGACACTTTCTGGCTTTGGTGTGACACTGGCCCTGTGCTGACAGGCCTCTGCATATTTTAGCTCTAGTTGTAGGCCTGTTCTTAGCCAGAGGGAATGTAATTTGCGGAAAATGGTGAGGTTTGGCTGTATCACCTGCATCTCTAGTCATGAATAACAAGGAAGAGGCAGGGCACATGTATAATGCAGCATCTGGGGGAGGAACTGCTTATGTAACTAGGACAGCAGCTTTTTTAGCAGGAGGAGAGTGGAGACAGAGGCTGCGGATGGGAGCAGTGAGCTGTCGGCAGGGGCAAGGTGCCCGGGTGGCTGCCCCTCACAAGGTAGGTTATGGGGCTCTGGCAGCCTACTGAGGGGAGGTGAAGGAAGCATAGATTTAAAGCCTGGGAAGTGCCTGGAGAGTTGTAGTGATACCCACCCAGTGGGGATGGTGGGGTGACTATACTGTGAAAGCATCCCAGCCCCATACTGAGAGATGCAGGCTGTATCCCTGATGTCTCACAGGGAAAATGTCTAATGATTGCTTTCCTAGATTTGAATTGTGTCCAGGAGATTCAGGCCTTGGCCCAAAGCAAGTGTAGCAGCAATTTTGCCTGGTGCTCAAAAGTGTACCTCTAGGGTTTGAGACTTAAATGGGAGTGCTTGCTAAGATGGGCAAAACCTGTAATTCCTCTGGGGCGGAAGGTTTAGTGTAGTTCCCTTGGTTCTCAGCAGGGTGGCAACATCCAGAGCCCCTGGCCCCGAGGCTGGAAGAGCTTCTGGTCAGGTGTGGGGACCACCAGGTCAGGTCTGGAAGAGCTGTGGGGATTACGGGGGCATCAGTACCTGCACCAGGAGCCCCTGGAACCAGCCCCACTGCTAGTAGAGAAGTCTCTGTCTAAGTGGCCTGTGCCTCAGTTCATCAACCTCTTTCTGCCTGAGTTTCCCATTAGGCCCCTTAGCAGGCAGCAGCAGTTGAAGGTAAGATCAATGGAATCCCTGGAAACCTGGGGCCTCAGTCTTCAGGAGAAATCTAGAAACTTGCCCTGTTCTCCATTTCTCTGTGCAGATTTTAGGCCTTGTGGCCAAAGGCTCCTTTGGAACTGTCTTCAAGGTGCTAGATTGTGGCCAGAAAGCTGTATTTGCAGTGAAGGTAGGGGCCTAGGTGCTCTTCCGTGTTATTCTCTAGTTCTTGCCTCCAATCTTGGTCCAGAGAGGTTGGGTGAATTGAACAATAGCACCATTCCCCCCAGAAGTCATCACACGTTTCCTTTTATAGGTGATGTACAAGGTAAAGGTCCTACAGAGGGACACCCTGAGGCAGTGCAAAGAGGAGGTTAGCATTCAGGTATGCACAAGGCCCTGGAAAGGATCCTAGGAAGAGCTAAAGCATCTTACCCAACTTTCTGCTTGTTCTTGTTCTGTCCTCTCCTACCTCCAACCTAGTTCAATACCCAAGCGGATCCTAGGAAAAGTAGCTATCTGCAGTTGTCCAGGTTCTGTAGGGAAAATTTCTCTTAACAGGTCCCAGTGTAACCCTTAGTATTATGCTGGTTTCAGGATTACCAGGCAGTTAGTCCCAATGAAGTTCCTCTGATCTGAGTGGTGAGGTAGCAGCTCCCTTTGTACACAGCTAGGTGAAATCTATCTTTCTGGCTGTCTTGATCCTTAATGATTCTATTCCTCCCTAACTTCCTATTTTTTTTTTGTCCCTAGCGACAGATCAGCCATCCTTTTGTACACAGTTTGGGGGACAACTGGCAGGGCAAACGGCACCTCTTCATTAGTGAGTGACTGGCCTCTCCTCATCCCCAAGGGTCTTCTACTACACCCCCCAACTGGGATTACCTATCCCTTTGGCTTGTTCTGCTTTTGCTGTGTTCATAACACCCCTCTATCCCAGGGGGAGAGGGAATAGCAAGTGGCACCAGTTTGGGCACAAGGCCTACAATGCCTTGAGCCCAGGCACAGTAGCCTCCAAACAATGCCTAGACTCCTGGTGTTTTGCAGTGTGCAGCTACTGCAGCAGAGATCTGTACTCCCTCTGGTCCACTGTTGGCTGCTTTGCTGAGGCTTCCATCTCTATATTTGCTGCTGAGTTGGTCCTGGTGCTGTGTAAGTCAAACAGGAATGGTAATGGAAATGAAGAGGGAAGAATTGAGTGGGAGGGCAGAGGCAAGACAATTGATATTAACTCTAAAGATCAAAGAATAGGGATGGGGAGGGGGCTACCAGGGAAACTGGAAAGGACAGGAGAGCTTCAGCACAACCCATGCTTGCTGTCATCCACAGGCTATCTTCATGACTTGGGCATCATCCATCGAGATGTGAAGGTAGAGTTGAGTGCTTTTCCCCCTTGTCTAAGGAGGGGCCTCAGTAAGAGGTTCCAACAGGTCCAAGAAGGCAGAGTGTAGCTGAGAACAGTGGACCTCGGGGCCCCTATGGGTGCTGAGGATTTGGGTAAGGGTTCTACCAAATATAGATTTGAACGGTGTCTAGGGTATCTTCTTCAGCTAGGGGTACACATGATGAAAGAGGGTTGAAAGGAAGAGGATGAATAATAACTTCTCACCTGTGATTTTTCAGATGGAGAATATCCTTCTGGACGAACGAGGTAAGTCCTCTTCCTTCCCTAGCCCCAGGATGAGAAGTACCTGGGTTTCAGTACAAGTCTTGGCTGATGAAGGGTGGAACAGAGTAGTTCTGCTGCCTTACCTTCTTTCACAGGACATCTGAAACTGACAGACTTTGGTCTGTCCCGCCACCTGCCCCGGGAAGCCCGAGCCTATACTATCTGTGGCACTCTTCAATACATGGGTGAGAGAGAGGCTAAAGCTGATGGGTAAGCATTGGGCAGGATAGCTGAAGGGTGCCAATGACAAGTATCTTTCAACTCTGTAGCCCCAGAGGTCCTGAGTGGAGGGCCTTACAACCATGCTGCCGATTGGTGGTCCCTGGGTGTCTTGCTTTTCTCTCTGGCAACTGGAAAGGTGAGATAATTGGGCAGAGGAAAGAGAAACTTTGCCCTGTGATAGGGAGAAGGAAAGACCTTAGGAAATCTTGCCTTATTCCTACTAAGGAATTACACCCTCCCCCACCTTTAACTCAGTTCCCAGTGTCTGCAGAGAACGACCATGTGGCCATGTTGGCAAGTGTGACCCACTGTGACTATGAGATCCTGTCCTCTCTTAACCAGCAGCTCTCACTCCTGCTTCAAGAGGTAAGGGTGAACACTATCTTTGACTTTCCTTCTTGACTACCAAACCATTCACTCTCTCCTTTCCCTATCATTGAACTGGTATTTCCCCATCCCTCTGATTAATTTTTTTTGAGGGGAGGGGTTCCAACTTGATTAAGGCTCACTTCACTACTTGCCCTCTAACCAACTTCACATTTCATTCCTGAGTTCCTGGTCCTATGGATTCTGTCTCCCACAAATCTCTTCCTCATCTGGAGTAGACAGGTCCCTTCCAAGAAAGTGGGCCAGTGCTGCTCTCCTTCCATTTAAAAACTCACAAATATAACGCCTATATTCCCGCCTTTGCCCCAAATTAGCCCGTTTCTCCCTCTTTTACAAATCTTCTACTCTTTAGGGTTCTTATTCCTGCCCTCCATAGCTTCATGGCTGGCTTTGTCCTTTTCCAGCTTCTCTGTTCAGCCCCTTCCCTATTCCAGTCCCTCATCCTTCATGTTCTGTTTCCCTTCAGCTCTTATCCAAGAACCCCTTCCACCGTCCACACTATCTGCATCATTTCCAAGTCCACCCTTTCTTTCGGGGTGTGGCCTTTGACCCAGAGCTCCTACAGAAGCAGCCAATGAACTTTGTCATGGAGGCACAAGCTACCCAGCCCAGTTCACTGGAATCCATGCCCTTCAAGGATTTCGACTATGAGCTGAAGTCCTTCCTGGTCCACCCCAGCCCTGCTTAGGTTAGGACACAGCTGGGAACCTGAGGATCTCCTCTACTGCCAACTCAGTATGACCACCTTGATGATCCAGTTTGTTTTTACTTTATAGCCCCTTACTATTGTTATTTTAGGCATTGGACCAGAGGTAACATCTTGGGCATTCTACTGCTGGCAGCCACAACTGGCCCTAGCCCTTCAGCCATCATACATGACACCTGTCAATTCAACATCTCAGATCAGGGTGGTGATCCTTCCTTTGTGTCACTTTTCCCCCTTTCTTGTTCCTCTGTCATGTTTCCTTTCTTGAGCAATAATGATGCTTCATGGGTTCCCATGGTGTTACTTATGTGTTTAATAGGCTTGTCAGAAGCAGTATGAATATTTTTCAAAGATCTCAAAAGCTGGCATTTCTACCCCTTACATAGGGGACTAAATAATGCAACTAAAAAATATGATATGGGGGCTCAAGGCCAGTCTATTATAAATCTAATTTTAAAAAGTTAAAAAAGTGAACCTAATAGCCTGAATATTGTGAGGATGGCACCGGACTGGGCAGTGTTTCGTTCTGTTGTACATAGGGTCAGTATGAGTTGGAATCGACTCAGTGGCACCTAACAATCTAACCTAACAATAGCCTGAAGGAAGAAGATGATCGGAACCGAAACATGGGTGGGTTAAATGTCTTCTCTAGGGGTAACTGGAACAGCTATCAAATTTTTTCCAAAACAAAACCACCTCAAAAGATGTTAAGAGTTATTAACACTGATCAATTTCTGATGGGCAAACCAAGGGGTGTTTCATGGAGAGGCATGACATCAACCTTAAAGATTTAAGTTTAGAGCTATATCACAAAAGAACTTTTTCTTTTACTAAAGAAAATCATTTGGATCATGAATTTGTATACACTTTTGGCCTTTATGACTTATTTTCATTTTTCTTTAACTTCTTAAAAGCTTTTTTTCCCCCCTGCAATTTTAGGGGGAAAAATGCTTTAATCTAGAGCATACTATATTTCAGTTGTGTCTGATTTCTCTTTCCAGACCAAAGACAGTCTGGAGAATACCCTGTATACTTTTATTAATTCTGTCCCTGGATTATATCAGATTTTCCCTGCACATGGCTGGCATTTTATAGGTCTCTGCAGAATTGCCTTTTTTCTGAATTGTAGTTTGGCATGATGCCACCTGCTTTCATTAAGAGATGTTATAAGGAAAATTCCAGTGAAATCCCTATGAAACTTAATTGCTGTGAATACTGTAAAGAATGTTTATCATTATAGTTCATAGTGTTCCATTTAAGGATGCATGGGAGAAGTTTCCTCTGGTCCCAGTTGTGTTTTTCCTGAATTGCTATTTGGTTTTTACCTTAAGGACACTAAATATTCAACTTACTGTATTTTTCTTTTTGTACTGATGCCAGACCATTTAGAGCCCAAGTTGTGGCCCACATCTAGCATGTGATGCATTTTCTATGCTAGCTACATTCTCGATTTCATCTTTCTTCTCTACCTTTATTTTCATCTTCATTTTTCTAAGTTTTAATCTTTTTAAACTTACTGTTTTACCTGCATCTTTGTAAGTCTTTTTGGAATAAGGTTGGGGTATAAATAAATAAAAAATGTATCCTTAATCCTTTTGATTATCCCATGTGTTTCTCCATAGACCCTTTTCTAGCTTTATTACATGTTTTTTCTTATTAAGTTGTTGTAGTGACCAGAACTGCACATTGAATAAAACCCTGGATATTAAAAATAGGAATTAATGGTTTCCAAAATAGTAGTTAAGAGCACTGGATTGGAATTTAGGAGACCTGGTGCCTGGATCCACCAATAACTATGTCAGTGTCTTCAGTTGAGTCATTTTAGCCTCTCTAGATCTTAGTTTCCTAATGCATAAAATGAGGGGGTTGTAACTATTGATTCTTAATCGTGGGGTTTGGTTGTAGGTTCTGTGATGCTTTTTCAAAGGGCAGATACAGAGGACCCGATATTTTGTGATACTGTGTATGGCCCAGCGTTATATTGGTCTTTCTGGTCAGAGCAGCACATTGGGTTAAGGTCATTAGGAATTGGTTAACATAATGTCACTAGATATGGGACAAAGAACTAAGTTGGCGTTTTGTATGTGGTTTCTAAAAAGAGCCTGAGCAATTAAAATAGCCAGGCAGGTAGGGGCTCCACAGCTTCCACACCTGGCAAACTAACTTCAGGAAGGGAGGGGAGCACGATGTAGCCATACATATTCATTTTGTATGATCATAACTATGCATTAAGGCTCCAGTCATGCATATTCATTGAGACCTCAATGAGTAGGGGACTCTGGACCTTAGAGCTCCCTTTTGGGGGGGCTTCCAGGGTTGGTGAGAACATCCATGCAGGGGAGAGGGTGTAGCACATCCCCAGGGACAATGGAAACCTTGTACAGGGACCTCTCCTAGATCTTGCCTCTTTGCTTGTATCCTTTCTGGTTATAATAAATGGGTAAGTGTAATCATAGGTGATAGTCTGCATTAATTTTGTGAGCTGTTCTAGAGAATTAACAAATCCACAGGGCAATGAGCCAGCAGGGGCTGGCAGTACAGAGTCGATTTGTATAGACCCAGCTCTGGGTAGCTGGGTGAAGGGGAAAGGCAGTCAATAAAGAAGAATAGAGTCCTTTTAGCTTGTGACCTAGACCCAGGGGATTAGAGAGAGAGAGAAAGAGGGGGAGGCCAGATGGTCTGAAGTGCAGGGAGTTGTGCAGACTCCTGAGTCTATGCTGTTTCCTGATGTGGCCAGAGATGTTTTGACATGGCTCAGGATAGCTGAGGATGAAGTCTGATCTAACTCTGGGTAGTTAGGATCTGAGAGAGAGTTTTTGCCATGGAAGTGGCTGGCAAGGAGGAATGGATATGTAGGAAGGTGAAGCCTGGATCCATTTCTAGGTGGGAACTAGATTCATGCTGATCCTTGCCACTCAGTGATACAGGTGGGGTTTGCCCATCTTGCCTCTTTTGTAGTGCAGTTTGTAGCATCATCCTCATACTAGGTCATATTAGGTAGCTTAGAGATCATGATCATATACAGTGAAACCTGTGAGAGCCGGAACTTATGGGACTGCCTTGTTTTTCCGGATCTTGCAAGTTTTCCGCCTTTGGCAGGGTGCAGTCTTACCACTTTTCTATTTCTCATTTTAGTGGAAAATATTTGAGTTCTCCTTCTCTGACAGGTTTCCACTTCACACAGGTTCCGGCTTCCACAGGTTTTACTGTAAAGGTAGTTTGAATCATTTCTTCTCATATGAAGACATTTCAACATACTCTTTTCAGTATGTGATGTACTACAGTAGTGATTCTCAGTGGAGTAGAGGGGGTGATAGAAAATCAGTTTCAGAAAGTATAATTTGAAAAAAAAACAACACTGCCCCTACCCCCCAATTCTGTGTCCCCACCCCCGTTCAGAATCACTGACATTTTAGTCACATGAAATTCACTTAAAATTTTTTTTAAAATACAACTTGAAATGACCTTTTAAGTCCCTATGCTTTGATTTTTTTCATTACCTAGAAGAAATCAGATATACCTATAAACATGAAAACTCTATGCTATACTCCTATCTTTTATAAGAATTTAAGATTAGTCGTAACACCAATCCTCATATACTCTTCTTCTAGAAAAGTGTCTGTAACTCTACTTACTGTTTCTTACCTCTAACCTAAATTCCTTTATCATATGTTGATCTGTTCATTTGTTCACTGATTTAACAAATTAGTAACCTCAATTCCTTGGTTACTTCTTTAAACAGCGTTTTCAATGTAGAATCTTGTCAGCTTTTTTAAAAAAATAAGCAAGATCATATTCACTCGTTCCTTTTTATACAAATGCATTATTAAACCCTGTGAAGAATTCTGATAGATTGATCAGTAATGATTTTCTATTTACAAAAAAGCATGCTACTTTTTTACCTAAAGGCCCGTTTCGCTTATATTCTGAGAATATACTCATCATTTCAGATTTCATTGTAAACTATGAGTTTTGCTGGTTTACAGAGCCCTACTGATTAGCAGTAGTCATACTGCTTCCTTTGTTCAACACTCCATCATACACAGAAGAGCTAATAATTCCACAATTTCATCCTTGAATTCACTCAGAACTGTCTGGTGGCTACTTCTCAGTGTTGCTGATTTGGGTTATGTAGTTTGATTTTTATAAAACACATATCTAAACATAAAATTTAAGCACTGTAATTGTTAAATTGGGCTGTATCTCTCATATCATATGTAAAACTTAATTCCAGATAGATTAAACACTTAAATGCTATGCATTAAAATGTTAAACATCTCAGAAGAACATCTGGGAGACCAGACCTACAATAAAGGAATGGAGGAGATACCTAAACCAAGATAGAAAATGAAAGAGCCATAAAAGACATATTTTATAAGAAAGACATACTTAACTACCTAAAAATTTGATGAATGACTCAATCAAGACAAGAAATCCAAATGCTGTGAAAGAAAAGATAAACATCTTGACCACATAAAAATTAAAAGCCTTCGTATGGCCAGAGGTACCATTGATAAAGTTAATGGCCAAACAGTAGAGAAAAAATATTTGCAGTGTGATGGCATAAAAAGTTAATGTCCATAGCACAGAACTCTTACAAATTAGAAAGAAAAGAAAAACAACCAATTTTTTAAAAGGGCAAGGAAATGACGTGACAAATCAATTAATTAGGTGTCTATCACTTGACTTGGAAGACTCTATACTAGACATAGAGAAAAAAAAAGATTCCATTTTTAAAAAGGACTCAATGACTTTTTCCCTCCTGTGTGTGTTTGTGTGCGTGTACGTGTACGTGTATGTGAGAGAGAGAGGGGAGTAATGCAAGTGGAAATAGGAGGGGGAAAAAAATAGAAAGGCTTGTACTAGTCCTTAATGCCAAAGACCCTTGTAGACACATCAATTAATTTTTGAGAAAAAAAAATATATCTGTGTTTGTGAATATACATTAAGAAATCATAAAGCATTAGAGCTATATTTAATGACAGGAGTTTCTAGGATAAGTAATATATTTACAGAGCAAAGTATAATTCTACTTGTATAAAGACAAACGACTGTATGTGTTTGTGTACATGTGTATGCCTGTATATGTTTGTATAAAGGTATACACACCATTGGTTACCTCAGGAGGGTAGAACGGATGGGGAAGCTTTTGGTTTTAATACATCTTTGCATTGTATTATTTCACTTGTTATAATAAGCATCTATTATTTCTATAATTTGAAAAATACCAAATTAAAAAAATTATTATGCAAAACAACATCAACAAACTAATTCTGTTTATGTTACTTATCACTCACAACGGCATTTTCCCTCTCATCTACCCCTCCGTGTCCCTCTTAAGTTGCTGTTGGAAGCACCATATCCCTTTGGCTACCCATCTGGTATCTGACATACCAGCTGCAACAAGGACTAAGCATTCTGATTCACACATTGTTATGATACCAACTTTTACTACTGGCACTTAAGTTTTCTGTCATGGCTTTACTGCCACTTCCCACCCTTATATTATTTCCTGGGTCATTCTCATTGACCAGAAGTGCAACTTGGAATTCCCTCTGCTGAGTCTTGGGCAATCCCAGGCTCAAGTTCATCCTCTTACATTCTTTCCCCCAGTTTTCTATTCAAGCAACTGTTACCATCTCTAGTGTCTGCAGGTTGGGACCACTAAGTTTCTAGAGCAGTGCTGTCCAATAAAAATATGATGCAAGCCTCACAAGTAATTTTAAATTTGCTAGTAGTGACATTTAAAAAGTAAGATTAATTTTAATGTATTTTATTTAACCCTGTATATCTAAAATATTATCATTTCAACATGTCATCAATATAAAAAATGAGATATTTTACCTTTTTTTTCATACAAAGTCTTCAAAATCTAGTAGTTTATACCTACAGCACATCTCCATTTGGATTAGCCACATTTGAAGTGCTGAACAGTCACTTGTGGCTAGTGGCTACTCTATTGGACAACACAGTTCTAGAGGAGCCCATCCCCTAAGGGCCCTACAGTTTATAATGTAGTCTCTCCTCTTTGGATTACTGCCTTTCCAAATTCATGAAGACTTCCAAAGTGTAAATAAAGTGCTGTGAGTGGAACAAACATTCTATCATAACCTATAACTCTGAATATTTACCTTTAGGCTGTTTCAAAAAATCAACTCCACCTTCAATTTCCCACACAGAGGGGATTCAGGAGGCAGTAGAATGCCCTTCTTGGTATGTGGGTTGGAATCTTGGCTCCGCCATTTGCTACCTGTGGGACATTGGACAAATTCTCTATATGACTCAGTTCGTTTGTCTATAAAATGGGTATATTTACAGTACCTGCTTCATAGGTGGTCAGTGGTGGTTCACTGGTAGAATTCTCGCCTTCCACGTGTTGGATTCCCAGCCAATGCAGCCACCAACCATCTGTCAGTGGAGGCGTTCGTGTTGCTATGATGCTGAACAGGTTTCAGCGGAGCTTCCACACTAAGGGAGAAAGACCTGGCAATCTACTTTCAAAAACCTTATGGGTCACAACGGTCCAATCCTCAATGATTAGGCGCAGGACTGGGCAGGATTTTGTTTGGTTTGCATGGGGGTTGCACATCAACTCCACAGCAGCTAACAACAACTTCGTAGATCCTTCTGAGGACTAAGTTAATACACATAAAGATTTGGAACAGCGCCAGGCACAAAATAAGTGTTCAAAACATGTTAGCTGTTATTCCAGTAAACTTGTTACAGGCCATGAGGTAAGTCCCTAGAAAATACCAGAAATTCTGAAGCGGCATTACAGCTCAGGGGCTACATTCTGGTTGAGAACTACGTTTCAGGCCATCACGGACACAGGCCTATGCGCAGACCAAAAAAGCCTCAGTAAGAAACACTTCTTTCACCGCTACCTGACGGACTCCCGGGCCGGCTCTTTCCCGTCAAGACTGGGGTGGGAGGTAACTGCGGAAACCTGAGGAGAGACTTCCTAAGCCAGACCATGGAGACAACTTTTCTGACAGGGTGTGAGGGTGGTCCACTAGAAGCAGGAGGGATGGACTCCTTGACTCTCCAGCTACCTACAGCGCCTTCCCTGATGTGAGGCCACAAGACGGCCTCGGGTCTGGCACCGGTTCAGGCCTCCCGGCTCGCGTCGGTGAGATCTCACAGACAAGCGCGCGCGAACCGTGGGGCGAGCCGGGCCTGGGAGGGGCGTGGCCAATTCCGGAGGCCCAGCCCACCCGCCTACGGGACTCCAGCCAGGACGCGACGTGCCTGCCTGACGCACTTCGGCTCCGCAGCCAATCGGAAACCACGGAGCAAGTTCAAATAAAGACGGCGGGTGGACATGGAGTCT